TTAAGCAGGTAGAATTAACAAGAAGGTTATCTAATTGGTGGCTAAAGCCAAAGCACGAGTGAAAATTAAACCCTTCACTGCAAAGCACCAGTCCTCAACTTCACTATTTAAAGAAAAAAAAAGGTAAAACTGGTTGTTAGTTCACTAAGTATTACGGCTAGGTGGCGTCAGCCGCCACCCGATCTAACGGGTACAGCCACCTCCATCCATCCATCCATCCATCCATCCATCCATCCATCCATCCATCCATCCGTCCGTCCATCCGTCCGTCCGTCCGTCCGTCCGTCTGTCCATCCGTCCATTATGGCGTTGTGCAGGCGACGTACTGCGCAGTCTTCCTTGAGCACGAGGAACATGGCTCGCACTATTTTTTTTTGCATGCTGCACTTTCGTACGCTAATCACTTTTTTCTGAGCATGTGCAATATTAAGAAATTGACTTCATGCCCTTCTTTTAAAAATAGCGTTCACATTCACCATCATGCAGTATGCTGCATACTGAGTAGCACTGCACGCTAGTAATATCGTTCCTGACATGTCAGGCATGTCGCTTAATGTAAGCACTGTGTTTTTTGGGGATTATTATTATGTTGCTTCTGTACTGCCTTTTTGATAATTGTCATGATGCATCACTGATAATTTTTAAAGTCATATTCAAGGCCTATTCACATTTTACTAAACTTGTCTGCTCTTTTGGGCCGGTTCCTATCCCTTGGCTGGTGGTGAAAGCATCGTGTGCACCTTTTGTAGACAGAAAAAAAATTAGTTGAAAAGCAAGCACATTCATGTGCGAAGCCTGTTGCTTTGATCTGTGCAATAAAAAGTAGTCTACAGAATAGAGGGCTTGGCCCATGGGATTATCTTTTGTTGTTCCTTTTGGTTGTCCTCGTTTATGAGTAAATGCAGCGAGTCAAGACATACAGGCGTGTAAGTTATCGCGTAAAATAAAGACATGCTCAAATAAATCGACCTGTAACATCTTCCCAATCCTTCGCTACTTGTCCGAAACAGTCTGTATGTACGCAAGCCGTCTAAAAAAGCCGTCCCGCATCCTACCAATGTGGTGGGGAGAAATCGAGTAATGAAATGCGTCGCAGAGTGGTGGGGGATCGCGTGAATGTTGAGTAATTGGTTATTGTTAGCGAATGCTTACTTGTTATTTCGTCTTTATTATTCTCATTTATTGAATGAAGAAGAAGTGTTGCCTTCGACGAGTGGCGGGACGCTGATGTTAGGTTGTTCTTCATGTTAGGTTGTTCTTCACTACTCGTTGAAGGTACTGTTGCTTCCATCGCGTCTACTCGAGTCATGCAATGTATCTAGTCAAGCGAAAGCCAATTAAAGACGCCATTTGATTGAATGCCGAATGCTCGGTTTAGTCCCTACATATATGGTGTGGCCAGTGAACGGTTGTGGGAGAGGGAGTGACAGTTTTGCGGGTGTCTTCTTTGGCCGGCACGATACGCGAGCATAGACAGTGGGGTTGCGGACGGCGCCGCGTGCGCTGGATCCGCGACATCGTACGACCAAGAAATGCTCCACATTAAATAATGGTCAAGTTCTCAAGCGACTGAATTAAATGGACACCCCGCCTCACATGTATAGAAGACCACTCTGGTCCCATTGTGCTGCCGCCGGCAGAATTAAAGTCGCATTTTCTTTGATGCTGAGGCAAGCTACTTTGCATAGTTCCCAGTTCATGCAAATAAAATGCTCCGCTGTCACATTTAACGCGCAACGTAACAGGCAAAGTGGGCGCCACTTATTCAGCGTCAACTTTCGGTATCACATGAGGTCACGCCTCAAACAGCTCTTTGCACGCCAGTGCTCCGAACAGATGCTTTTTCTGTTGACGGCCTGTCACTGTAGGGCTTTGCGAATAGAAAATTTTAGGACCAGATCAAATACGAATGAAATAGCATAACGACAACAAATCGCATATGGATCGCAAATGATTCAAATAGTAAGAGATAAGTTTTCAGAGCAGTTACTTCAACAGTATTTATTGTGGAATTAACAGTTTGAAGCATTACCAAAAGGGTCGTTACAACTAATTTTAACCATTAAATATGTCATTATTATTTTAACTGGGGTAAACACGTATAGGCAGGGACAGTCAATGAAAATATTTTAAGTGTTGGCTGAAATACAGTGGTTAAGTTGGAATTCGTGAGAGTATTTTGTCGCCGCCATTTGAATAAAATCGAGGCATAAAAATCAACAATATGTTTGCTGAATCAACATAACTAAATTTAATCATTAGAGATTGAGGATGACACTATCACTTGGCGACCATTAAGTTTTAAATATAAGCACCCTCATTTGTGATCAGCGCGCGGAATCAATAGTTCCTTAAAAGGTTTCTCTGCGTGCAAGCTTCTTGATAATCCACCAAATATTTCGAACAAATAAGTGTTGTCTCGTCATAATATGCGTTACTCTTCGGGGGTTTTTCTCCAAGTGCTCTATATTCGAAAAAAATGCTTAGAGTTTCGAATATATGTTATTACATTCATGAGAAGTGAATTCAGTAGAGCACCATTGGACTTCTTATTTGAGCTTTTAGAACATTTACAGACTCCGTCAATCACTCAAAGTTGAATTGACGAGTGGAGCAACAACGTTAAGCTATCTTCATCATTTTACAGGACATTCTCCTACCTCACTGCTTAAAAGATGCATAATCCACGTGCAATAAAAACAACGTGAACGCTGGGGGAAAAGGGGGGGGGGTGGATGACGCACTACCGAGAGCTAGGCTTTCTTCGGGTAATGTGGGACGGCGGTGGCTGTCGCATGCAGCGTCCTGTGCAGCGTCCTGTGCAACAGTGCCCCTAGCGGCATCGGCGCGCAGAAGGCCCCTCTCTGGCGAGGGATACCCGTGGTGCTCCGCACACCTCCCCATTCTAGCCACCCTACCTAGATCGTAACATGGAGGAAAGAAAAACTAAGGAGAGGGCATGACGTCACACTTGTGATGATGATGATGAGGATCATTTGATGTTCTCTTTTTAGCGGGCGAGTGTAGTGGCACCCTAGCATATAAAATGGTGACAAAAAAACACACAAAATCACGCTCTGCTCGAGCTCGTAACCACTGCTACACTGTCGCTGCACTGCCCCACCTAGTGCTTTCGCTCGCTGCGAGACAACCACTGCCCTCCAGCGCTCGAGACGCCGCATCGTCTCCTCCTCTGCTTGTGAATTAATCACACCATCCTCACCCGCAAAGCCCAGCGCTGTGTGCAATGGCTCCGTCCCCGGGAGACCTATTTGGCAGCACTCAAGCACAATCTGCGCAATTGTTTCCTCCGCACTGCCACACGGGCGACAAAAACACCGATAACACCGCGTTGTCCAACGTTCTTCTGCATGCAAAGGTTTGGAGCGTGCCTGCGCGAACCTCGAAAAGAAGTGAGCTCCCGGTGCCATTGTCGTACACACGAACTGTGTCGATGGTGTCCTTGTAGGTTCGGTATAGTTCGAGGGGGGCTTCGCCACTCATTGCGTGCCGCCACATTTCCCTCTTCTTCTCACGAACCCGCTTTCGCACTTCCTTGGTATATCGCCTTGCGGTTTCAGCCTGTACAGGTTCCGTAAAGGTAATGCACTTCTGTTCCAGGCGATACACCAGGTTCACCTAGGTTGTACGGATGCACGTTGCCGAAAGGTATTCAAATATCCGCCGCGCCCACTGGTCTCGACTCATGAACTGCAGGCGGCCCCGGTACGTAGGCTTGCTGTATGCCTCCCGAGCTTTAAAACCAGAGCAGCCCATGTCCCCCTGGACTGCCTCATTTGCCACCCTTCCATGGCATGCGAGCGCCGTGCGGCCTACTTGTCGCTGTCGCAGCTCAAACCATTCTCTAGTTGCTGCCGTCATGCAGACTACTGCATTTGCGAACGTCAAGCAGGGGACATGAACGAGTTTCCATAGGTCCCTAGCCATGATGAAATGGTTGCAGCCCCACAATATGCGGCGCTGGAGGATGCACTGTGCCCGCAGCGCGAATTGGCGGATACAAACTTCTTGCCGGCTGTATATATTGTCCTTGGAACACAGTAGCACGCCTAATACCCCTGTCACACGGGCACCCGTGAAGACCGTTTAACTCCCTCGTCTTTACGACAACGAAGATGAGGTCGGTGTCACACGGCCACCCTCACGCAAACGAAGGTAAACGGAGCATTTCGCAAAGAACGTTCAACGATCTCGCTTCGTAGCGAAACGAGGTACTCTCGTCCTAAGCAGTCTACAGGTCAAATAAAAATTTCGAGCACTAAGTGTCCGCAGTGAAAGAATAATACATTTTAGCAATATTAAGCGTTCTTTCGTTGTAGTACTCATTCACAACGCGTGTTTGTTTACAATATTTACGCCCGCCAGAGTTAACTTACTCTCAACACCGATGCCCTACACACCATGCCTCGCGAGTCGGGCCGGTCAGCGCCAGGTGATCAACGTCATTACCAGCGCAATATCGCACCACTTCCTCACGTCGTCCGCTGAGTCACTCGTGGCTGAAGAACACAAAATGTGTGCTCACGAGGCAAGGAAGCATAAGAACTTTCGTACCGGGCATGTACACAGGCGACAAAACAACTAAAAGCACAATGTGGCCAGCGTCACTAGTAGCATTGCTACATTTAGCAAATGCGTTTTTATTTGAAATTATTTTTAATGGTTTGTTTGTCGCATACCTACTTAATAGCGCTTTTTTGTAAAAACCGCATAACGAGGATTCTAAAAAAGTCAATAAGGATCAAATTAAAATATTTTCCGAAAATCAAACAGCGCCAGCTGAGTCCCTCGCGGCAACTGTTACAACCTTGTCATTGCCGTGTGACACTGCCACAACTCCTTCTCTGTCGAACCCCCTAGGGGAGATTTACGTTGATGGTGTTTAACAGAGTTTGGTGGTGGCCGTGTGACAGGGGTATAAGTGCTTATAGGCGGTGTCATTGGCGATGCTCTCACCTCCTAGCTTGAGGTCTGCCGCCTCAGCCATGTTGCCCGCGAACGGTACAGCCTAGGTTTTCTTGGCGTAGTCCCAGCTCAGTCATCTCTGTGGCACTGATGTCCAGGAGAGCCTGCAGGTCCACTTTGGTCTCAGCCATGAAAACTACATCATACGTGATCGTCAAGCCAGGCAGCCGTCGATTTTCCTCAATTTCTCTTGTGCTATACTTCAGACGGAACCCGAGGCCGGACTCGAGCAATGCTTGTTCCAGGCCCGACACGTATAGGAGACATAGAATCGGCAAAAGCGGACTTCCCTGACCAAGACCCCTGCAGACGCCTACCGGCCGACTCCCTACATTGGCGAAGTGTGCAATGGTGCTATTGCCGGCGTATAGGCATCTGACTGTCTCCAACAGCTCTTTCGACATTCGCAGTGTCTCCAGGCGTATGAACAGGATGTAATGTGGGACATTGTCGTAAGCTTTCTCCATATCCACGAAGCAGCATAGAAGCGTACGCCCTTCTTTTCTGGCGATCTCCACACGTTGTGTGAGAACGAAAAGGTTATCCTTGAGTCGTCGACCTCTGCGAAAACCGTTCTGCCGTTCTGTCAGCCGCACTTTAGAATCAGCCCAGCCACTAATCCAGTCCTAAGCACATGGATAAATAGCCTGTACATGGTGCTCCTGACTGTGAGTGGTCGGTAATCTTGAAGGTTCCCTGCCTTGCCTCCACGCTTGATGATGAGTGAGACTCTGCCCCGGTGTCAGTCGTGTGAAATGGCCGCTCCCGCAACGACGTCCTTGAACAGGCCAGCTAGCCCCGCCGCGGTGGTCTAGTGGCTAAGGTACTCGGCTGCTGACCCGCAGGTCGTGGGTTCAAATCCCGGCTGCGGCGGCTGCATTTCCGATGGAGGCGGAAATGTTGTAGGCCCGTGTGCTCAGATTTGGGTGCACGTTAAAGAACCCCAGGTAGTCTAAATTTCTGGAGCCCTCCACTACGGCGTCTCTCATAATCATATAGTGGTTTTGGGACGTTAAACCCCACATATCAATCGAACAGGCCCCAAGCACTTAACTAAGCGAGATGGCATGCCATCTGGCCCAGAGTATGTTTGGGCTTGGAAATGGGACAAAGCACGGTCTATAGAGATATGACTGAATTCCAATTTTAGGGCTATTTCCTGTGGGGAACCCTGTTCAGTCCTCTCTTCACCACACTGTGAGTCTCCTTCATCCAACTGGAGGTCCCTCGTGTACCCACGTGAACCATACAGAGCCTCCAGGTACCCTGCCATAGCCTCCTTCATGTCATAGCCTCCTTCTGGCATTGGGGCACGACACCGCATCGAGAATGGGTCGCTCACCACTACTGTATTTTCAGGCTGTACTGCTCATGGGCTTCAGCTCGTGGGCTCCTGATTCTTGGCGGCGGTGCCAATCAGAACCAGCTTCGTTCCAGTCGACATCGTTCTGTGCACAACTACGTTTGGACGGAAACAGTTCCCTCGTCTGGCTACCGGGATCGTCAACTGATATCGTCACCGCCGCCGGTTATAAGCGCCCGCCTACAACTGTTTCCTTTGGGCACGACACCGCATCGAGAATGGGTCGCTCACCACTACTGTATTTTCAGGTTAGTTACCTTGAGTGCGCTGTTTGTGTGAAGAGCGACAATCGTTTTTTGATTGCGGTGTCGTGCCCAGCGACATTGTTCGATTCTGTGAGGCGAGCATGCTGCCTTCCGGCGCGCCTGTGCCATGCTCTGTTTGAACTGTTGCTCATCGTTTGTGGCGATGTCGAGACGAACCCTGGGCCTACTTTGGAAAACAAGGTCGCCACAGTTTTGGAGGTTGTCGGCAGGCTTGAAGCTGGGCAGGCCAGAATACTCAGTGAATTGAAAAGTGTTCGGGAAAGGCAAGATGTGGCTGACCAGCAGATTAAGCAATTGACGGAGTTACTGCCTTGGAAACCGCAAAGAATGCAGTTGATTCCACTGTACTCGATTCTGTGCCTAATGAGTCTTTGCGCAATATTACTGATAGGCTACAGTCTATAACGATGAGATGTGATGACGCGGAAAACAGGCAACGGCGGGACAATCTGCTCTTTTTTGGTATAAATGACGAAGACAAAGAAGATTGGGCAACATCCGAGGAAAAAATAATAACTTTCTGTTCTCAAAAACTTGGCATCCCACTAACAAACGACCACTTTGAACGGGTACATAGACTGGGAAAGTACAAGACTGATAAGCAGCGGCCAATCATAGCTAAAATGAGTTCCTTTAAAAACAAACAAAAAGTTCTTTCTGCCGCGCATAAACTAAAGGGTACCGACTTCTCGATTGGTGAGGACTTCTCGCCAACTACACGTTATTGTAGGAAAAAATTAATTGAATTCGCCAAACGTTTAAAGAATCCAATAAAGTTGTCAGTGGACAAACTGCGCGTTGATGACAAGACCTACATGTATGATCACGCAACGGATTCCGTTATACTTCACAAAACATAGCAAAGAAAGCATGCACACGACACGGAACTTAAGTGTTCAGATTACTATAACAAGTCACCATTCATGCAGTTATGTTTCACTAACATTCGCAGCCTTATACCCAAACGCGATCAGCTTTGCTCGTTCTTAGAAGATAGTAACCCTGACATTTTAGCAATAACAGAGACTTGGCTTCATTCTGATATACCCGATCACGAGCTTCTCCCCGATAACAGCGCCTACAACATATTTAGGCATGACCGCGATAAAAAAAGAGGCGGTGGCGTTCTACTAGCTATTAAAAAAACACTGTCATCATTTTGCGTCAATATAGACTCCATTATTGAAATTGTATGGACTGCATGCATCACATCAGCAACAAAAATATTGATAGGTGTCTGGTATCGCCCTCCCGACTCGGATAACTCGTTTGTAGAAGAGCTGCGCAAAAGCGTTGATTCCGCAATTCGGCAATGCTCTCCTGACAATATATACTTACTCGGCGACTTTAATTTTCCCCAGATTGATTGGTCTCTCCTAACTTCTACCTGTCACGAAGCAATGGAATTTGTAAATGTAACCCTAGATTATAACCTGTTTCAAGTTGTCAAGGAACCAACTCGTGGTACAAACATTTTAGACTTAATTTTAACTAACGCTCATGAGACTGTTAGTTCTATTCTGCACGTAGATGGTTTCAGTGACCATAAGCTACTTCAAATAACACTTAGCCTCCCAACCCACGTATTACATAGCACTGTTAAAAAAATTCGGGACTATAACAGAGGTAATTACGAAGGCATAAATGGTGAATTGGAAGCTTTTTACGATCAGGTTTTTCTTCCATCTTTCCCGTACCGATCAGTCAATGAAAACTGGATTCTCTTCAAAAACAAAATCATTACATTGGTTGATAAATATATTCCCCTAATTTCTATCTGTAACGACAATAAAAATCCCTGGTTTAACAAAACGCTAAAGTCTCATAGATCGAGGAAGAAGCGGCTCTACAAAATCGCAAAACGCACTTCGAGCCCTTCAGATTGGGAAAAGTACAAGGGTTCTTTGAAAGAGTGCTGCTCTCTTGTAAGCAAAGCGAAATCTAAATATTTTACACACGATTTGCCTTCCATGTTAACTACTAATCCGAAAAAATTCTGGCAAGTAATTTCCCCTCACAATGCTACCACATCTGTCAGTATACAAGATGCTAACCATATGCCTCTATCAGATGTAGATAGCGCTTCAGTGTTGAACTCATTTTTTTTCATCTGTGTTCACGTGTGAAGATCATTCCAGAGTGCCCGAAGTTCCCGAGTTGGATTATACATTCATGGCACCTATTGACATCAGCACTGAAGGGATTGCGAATCTTATTGGAAAACTTAAATTATCAACTTCTTCAGGCATTGATAACATTAATTCTAAGGTCCTCAAAAACACGTCATTATGCTCAAGTAAAATCCTGTACCGCATCTTCACGCAATCTTTATCAACAGGACAACTGCCGGCTGATTGGAAAATAGGTAAAGTTGTTCCCTTATTTAAAAGTGGCAATAGATACTCACCAGAAAATTATCGCCCCATATCATTAACATGCATTTGCTGCAAGATGCTTGAGCATATCATTTCTTCGCACATTTATTGTCATTTGGAAACCAATAACTTCTTTTTTGAGAATCAGCATGGATTTAGGCGAGGTTTTTCTTGCGACACCCAATTACTGGAATTTACCACTGATCTTCACTTCAATATGGATAATAATTTACAAACCGACTGCATTTTCCTAGATTTTTCTAAAGCATTCGACCGCGTACCTCATTCCCGTCTGATTTCAAAATTAACAGAACTTCGTTTAGATTCGCTAACCTTATCGTGGATCCGTAACTTTTTGTCATTTCAAAAGCAGTTCACTCTGGTTAATACCTCTTCCTCTCCAATTTCCGATGTCACCTCCGGAGTGCCTCAGGGTAGCGTCTTGGGGCCACTACTTTTTCTAATCTACATTAATGATCTTCCAACTAATATTTCTTCGTCAATACGGCTTTTTGCTGACGATTGCATTCTATACCGTTCTATAACTAGTGCCGATGACCACCTTGCTCTCCAAAAAGACCTTAATCTCATTAACAACTGGTGTGGTGCATGGCAAATGACTTTAAATTTATCAAAATGTAATGTAATATCATTTAGTCGAAAAAAATTAACTGTTGAATTTGATTACACCATAAATAATTCCAACGTGTCACGGTCGTCTTCATATAAGTACCTCGGCGTTCATTTCACTTCTAATCTTACTTGGGCGACACATGTAACCTACATATCTGCAAACGCATCAAGAACATTGGGATACTTACGTCGAAACCTACGAAACGCGCCAAATAACGTCCGCAAACAAGCTTACTTAACCTTTGTTCGCCCACAGCTGGAATTTGCATCACCCATATGGTCCCCCTTCCAAGCCTATCTCATTAACCAGCTAGAAGCTGTGCAAAACAGGGCGGCACGGTTCATTTCACGTATTTACAGTCGCCCCTCGAGCGTCACACAAATAAAACATGACCTTTCATTACAGCATCTAGACATACGGCGCACAGTTACCCTCCTGTCTTTGCTTCATAAATATATTCACGCGTCCAGGCCACCACCCTTCCCACTAACAGCACCATTGCGCATGTCTAAACGACTTCACAATCAGCGAAGCATCACACGCATCTTTGGAAAAACAAAATCATTCAATTTATCGGCTTTGCCTCGTGCCATAGCACTCTGGAATGACCTACCCGACGTCATTGTCAATTTAACTAATCATGAAAATTTTCGCGAGCAATTAATGATTCATCTATCTCAATAGCATTGTATAACCTCCTTGAATTCTGTTTTTGTTCTTTGTGCTTTTTTGCGGCTGGGAAATTCTTGTTGTTGCTTGAAGCCCCTCTTTGTCATTTGTGCAACCACTGTTATTAGTTCCAATGTTATTACTTGCTTTGTATTTTTAT